ACAATCTCACCTATCATTTTAAAAACACTTCTGACAGATGCAAATTTTGTGGGAATATAAACCCCGATTCAGTAAAGCATTTGGGAATGCACTCAAATTTCACTTTAGTTAATACTAACGTACATCAAAGAAGCAGGTCCTGAGTATGTAAGAGAGGTTTATCTGTGAGATCTTTACAATATTCTTACTTTTATTTTATGTTTTACTCCATCCAATTAAGACTTCAAGCAAATATTTATTAGTAAACAGTAACATAGGCACAATAAACATATACTTCCTGAGGGAGAAAGGATTTTTTTAAAACACAATTATATTTTGAAAAATACAGATCGCTCATAAAGACTGTTTGGAGTCTGTCTGAAAAGTATCACATCTAATGGTGTTGACAAATGTAGCTTGGCTTGCCAGATAGGTCAGAAGATTGAAATTATGGAATGTTCAGAATCTGGGTATTATTTATTCTTTTCTGTCCACATGGCAAGGGGGAAAGAATACCAAGTTTAAAAAATACAGAATGGATTTAGCAACATCCTTCTGAAATTTGAGTGACCCTAACCAAGATACCTACACACTACTCTAAAACACAATGCTGCTTTGCATGAATGTGGCTAAGTATCCCTCAGGAAAATATTCAGAGAAAAATATCTTGAGTAATATCGGTATAACACTATTACCAAGATAATTTTGCTTCTATGACACTGTACAACAGAAAGTATGCAAAGTTTCTATGCAACTACTGTTCTTGCTAAAGCTATTTCTCCTTGTCAAACTAGTTCAGTAGTTTGCTGGGTATTTTTAAAAATTATTTGAAAAGCTAATTAAGTAATATTTAATATGTATTTTGTGAAAGTTCATTTGCAATCAAATTGCAAAGCTCTATGGAGCTTTTCATTTAAGACCTAAAATAACCATGCTCATTTTCAGTAACACTTTTTAAATAACTGAAAGCACTTGAAAAATTGAAGGAAAACACTTCAGCACTTGACTGACTTATACCTCATACACAGCCACGCTGTTCCTTTTACAAGTGGCACAAAAGATATAATTACTCCAAAGCAGATATTCTGGCATAACTGGATTATTTTATGGCAAATCTATAAAGAGCTTGTAAATGCCATAAATTCCAGCAGTGTTGTGTATGTCCATCCATGCATCTGCTACTACCTTTGAGTTCATATTTTCTGACATACAGTTCACTTCTAAAAGCATTTAACAGGACCTGAATTTAATCTACCAGTTTCCAGGTGTACTTCCTTTTTAACCAAATTCTTTCATCTCATTGTTGGCCAGAACTTCCACAAAGATGAGTTTCACAACTTCATGCCTCCCATACAAATTTTTCATACACTCACATATTTAGAGAAATCTTAGAAAAAAACGTGTCTGCGTTTATAAATGATTATGGCCTCTCCTGTGTGGGCAGTATTTTACATGCTTTACAGGTGAAAGATGATCTATAATTGCACTTGTAGACAACCAGGGCCAGCACAATATAAGAAACAAGACTGCAAGCACAACTGCTGGTGCCTTTTTTTCTCTACAATGGCCTCGAAGTTAGACTGATGGCTCTCTGGGCTTCTTGCCAAAACCACACACCAGATGAAAATAGCAAGAAGGGAAATAAGCAACCTGGGGTCCAAAATTTAATTCTGACCTTATGTATAAGCTCTATGGGAAGCTTGGGCAAAGTAGTATGTTAATCTACCATATAAGGGGGGTACAAGGAAACTAGAAAAAAACTTACAAGAATGTATAAAATCTCTTCTCTATCATGTAGACATCTTGGTATTTTGAAACCATCGATCTTGAAAAATAATCAAATCTTCATGTATAAACATTGTGTTATTCTCAGAAAGTAATATTTAATGTGCATTTTAAGTTATATGTCCACAGCCCACTTACTTTCAGCATGAGATAAACCATATTTTTTATGGCTTTAACCCACTTTATTCAAACCACAGAGATTTTTGTTTCATAAATTTGCTGGTTTATGGATCTCATTAACTATGAAATATGGACAGCATATCAGAAAGCAGATTTGAAAGTGAAGGCTGAAAAGTTCTCTTCATCCTATCAGAAGAACAGGCTCTATTTACATTTTTTCTCATCATTCACATTGGAAGTTTTCTTCTGCTAAAACATATTTGCTAATGGAGTCCTTCGCAGAAACAGAGCAATTTTTTTTTTATCAAATCAGTGTCCTTCACAAAACCGTTTACAAGGAGAAAACATTTTTCTACATTTAAAATAATAATATAGTGTTAGTCCAAAATTGCAAATGAGCAAACATTTTCATAAATTTTTGCAGATGCTAACTAAATTTAACATAACTTCCTTGAAAGCTCTGTTATTAGGCTGTTTCTAGAGATCACGATAACTTCTCAGTGGAGAATAAAAGGTATGTTAAACAGATTAAACTCTATTCATCTGGTTTCCTACTATAAAACTCATATTAATTAGCTATGTACTAGTGTAATTCACTGCACCTCGATCCTTCGATTTTAAACACAAATATCTAGGAAATTCAGATGTTAAATACCTACTGATACCCTATTTACTAACTATTAAAATAACACATAACTCAATTTTTTAAAGCTCCTAAATAAACACAGTAATAAGTAAAAAAATTTTAAAACATTCTGAGGCGGAATCTTGAAAATTAGATGCTTGAATTACAATGCTCAGAGAGCTTGATTTATTGATCATTATTTTTAGAATATAAAAGATATTTTATTAGTCTCCTGTCTTTCCAAGAGAAAATTCACAGGACATTAAGTTCTTCAACACACCACATTTCAGAAGCACAGAAACAAGAAACAGACCATTTTATACTCTTCCTGTGAAGTGAGATTAACCTCATACAAATCTTCAAATTGATCCTGATGCTACCATAAAATTACAGACGGCTTATATATGAAGAAAAGAAGTATTTTTATGGCAATTAATACAACATAACATCTTCTACTGATATAGATTGACAAGTCAGAGATACACAACAAACTGAGAAACACCAACTATTTTCCACTGGGAGACCCAAGTCATCAAAATACAGGAAGGGACGTTGATCTAAAGGCAACAGAAGAAAGTTTTGAAACTGTTATTCACCTATTCACAACTTCAGAAGGGAAAGAGGCCAAAATCTTTCCTCACTATTCTCTTCAGAGGGATTTATTCTGGCTCAAACTATTACCAAAGGCACTACTGTGAATTTCAATAGAATAAGAGAAGGCAGTGCTCTACAAAATAGCCCAGTACAAAAATTTCAACTGCATTGTATCAATCTTTTGTTGGTTTTTAGCACAGCAAAAGGCATTATGCATCAGTACATGAAGTGCTTAAATAAGAAGCAGAATGAGGTAACTTTGAAAAGTATCTGCCAATAGCACACATAACTCAATTCCACAACATACTGTTAACTTTTTCATAGAGTGATAGACAGCATAAGACCAGCTTCATTTTTCATTTACTTTTATGTCAACAATGGAAAAGCAGACAGTATTCGATTTGCCATCAACTTTGTAGGAAAGTTACAAAATTCTGTGGACGACTTTGAAGTAGTAGAATGGCTGCTGGTAAGTAGTATACATTTATTAATATTACATCTTTGGATGCAACACTCAGATTTATAATTTCATAGAACCATAACACAAATTAATCACACAAAGACATCTAATTCAAATGGAATAAACTTTCAAGCACTTTAGAAACTTAGTGTAAGTGCACCTATAAACAAATTGTTTCAACACTTCCTGCTTATGCTTGGCTTCCTTTATGCTTTTCTGAACGACTGCCACAACAGACTTGATAAAATAATGATGCGCTCAATGTTAAGCGCAACACTGTGTAATAATGTCTTCGACAGTAATAAATCCCACATTTTTGCTGTTTTCCATATTGCCTTCATCTCACTGCTCCCTTTTTGTTACACAGATCTAATATATGATCAGCAGCAGAATAAATTTGTGATGAATTCGGAAAAAATTGATAGAAGGCTGGACTTTACTTGTTATAATGAATCAAATGAAATTGGAATCACACCGGTTTTGTTATGTTAGTCCCTGTGCTCTAGAATCGAATGGATAGTAACAAGAGTGGTTGATTTACCTTGCTATCAGCAAAAATACTTCTAAAATTCTAATAAGGACTGTTCAAAGTAACAGAATTTATTGGAAATATAGGCAAGATTTTCAGTGAAGACACATTAAGGTTCCAACCCTTTCTAATCCTTTCTCCCTTACTTTTAAGTAAACCCACAACTCAGCCATTGACATGTGCAGTCTGTGCTGTACCGAACACAATCTCAAACTATGAGATCGAAAATACTCTTGTATAGTTAGATATGCAAGTAGAACTATTTAGATAGTTCTGCTGCAATAACCATTTGGGAAGCTGCTTTTCCACATGTAGATTCAAGAAGATAGGAAAGGAAAAAAGCAGATTTTCACAGAGTATATAAAAATTTTAAAAAGAACTCCTGAATAATTACAGAATAGTGTGATCCAAAAGGTCTTCATTACGGTGGGCCACATTAGATAACAAGACATTTTTTCTGGTTAGGTTTATGTTATGTTTATCTTCTCCCACAAGTAGTAATACTAAACTTTATTTAATGCAGTGATTTTCATGCAACTTATGTCCCAAACCACTGCCCTCCTCAGGAAAAAAGAATGAAGCAATGTTGCAAGACAGGATTCACCACTGCAAATTTTCCATCAGCTGGAAGCCAAGTCAAGAAGAAACCTGAGACTAATTCACTCACCCTAACACTGCAACCACTAGAAAATGTTCTGTTTACTTTTTTTTACATGATTATCAAACTAAGTATTAACTGAGCACATTAAATGTAAATATTGAAATGTAGCACATTAAAAGTCTATCTATTTACCATGACCTTCAGTTCCTGTATCTGAAAAAACTTAATGTAGAAGACTTTTCCCCAAAAATGTTTATACCAAAGTTACCATGAACTTTTAATGTTACTCAATTATTCCGGTCCATACCTGCAAACCTGCCAGTTGAGTAGCTGACTTCCCTTTGAGGCAGAGAATCAGTGCCACAAATGCATTTAAGTCCTCCAGAGAGAGGCTACTGACCTATAAAAGATGAAAAAAGAACACATTAGCTGAAAGCTCTGAAGAGGAAATTTCTGAAAACTGACTCCTCTTGTTCAAGCACATCAAACTTAGTTCAATGACCTCACAAAGTTATGACCACCATGAATGCATTGACTAGGAAAAGGCACTTGAAGGGAACAAAATACTTGCTTTTATAACTTGAATGAAGTGCATACCCCAATACCTATGTATAGTGTATATACGTAGATTTCCACACACTAAACAAAATGCTCCCCCTTCAGCTATTCCATTCTCCTCTTTGAGTTTCTTAATAATGGGAAATTTCTTCATCTCCCTAACATTAAACATACTAAAAAAAAATGAGACTTAAAAAAAAAAATAAATTGTTTTATAATCAACAATAAAAAGCACCTGAATGAGCCACAGATGTGATGACCATTACGATTTCCTTCAAATGCTTACATGATTAACTGCTGTAAACTTCAAAAATAATCTAAAATGTTTCAATTACCTATATTAAGCTAAATTTCAGGATTTAACAAAACATATTTGGATTCTTTTTGAGTTTTAGGCTATATACTGAAGTGGGAAGAACTCAAAACTGCAAGAAAACGAAACCTAAAATGTTCAAGTAGGAAAACAAAGAAAAATTCTAAATTAATCTAACAGTTCGCTCTAATACCTCTATCAGAAAAGGGAGAATGGGGGCATTTACTGTTGTGTAAAAGCACTCAGATTCGGTAGAGGCACACCTCTAGACCAGCTGGGCTGATTCTATGACACTACCAGTCCGGTTCTGATCACTTGTTCCCTCTTAGAAGAACATTATAGATTATACATATGCACCAAGACCAAATAAATATCTGTTACAAATCTTGAGGCTATAAAGAAGGCTCTAAGTGAAATCCATAAGGCATTACAATTCTTCATCAACTGGAACTAGAGGGAAGGTTTCTATTGCAAAGTGTGGAAATGTTCATTGTGGGCTTACAGTACAGTTAAAAGGCTGCATTGTCTTTCTTTTAACAGCTTGATTTTTGAGGAATGTTGTGTACATCCTATTTCAATCCATTAGGAGTTTCTATTATGGCTATTAAAAATCAAAAAAGTGACAAAAAATGAAGGAGAGAAAAATTTTAAAAGACTGATGTAAATCAATAGAAAAAGAAAAAACACTAAGAAGCCATCTCTAATTATGTCATTCGTTTATTTGCTTAGGAGTAAGCCATTCTTTCCTCCTCAAGATAAAAATTATTCAACCATTACCAAGAATTATTTTTTTTTAAATCAGGCCTTGCTGCTTGTACCACTGTAGAATACCTTCCACTCTACAATGCTGTTCAAACTTGTATAAAGAACAAGAATGTGAGGGATATCAGAAGTTTTAAGCTTTAAAAATGCTCTTCGGTATTCATTAACTCCACCTGGCTGCTCAGATCTGATAATGGCCCTACTTTACCCTGTATTTCAAGTCAGGTGTCACCTTTGTGTAGATGGCAACAAAAGAGTTTTACTAAACCTGCATATCTTATATATTTTGCAGTAACAGAAAAAGTGACTTTCTTCTACAAAACCAATTCTTACTACTTGCACAGTTTTACCCTAAGAAAAATAAGTCAAAGATTGCTTGCAGGTAAAACAGCAAGAAAATGTCCATAACAAAGCAGATCAGTCAAAATGCTCACAAATATCAAAACGCTTCTTTAGAGAAATAGTTTATTCAGTAATTGAATTTGATGAGTTATCACATTTCCATTGTCAGACTTCTTCCAAAACTGTAAAAGCTTGAAAGAGAAATTTTCCCTTTCTTTGGAGACTCCACAGTTTGACATTTGAACTCATTCACTCTCTTCCCCAACTTTAAAGACAGACCTGTTATTTTATAATTTTCTCACTATTTCTGTTCTTAATTCGGAGGATATTTGAAAAGTACCCTCATTGATACTCTCTTTACATAGTTAAGATTTGCTTATTGGAAATTTTTTCTCACTTCAAAAAAAAAAAAAAGTGTATTTTAAGTTTTCATTAAACACTTGCACATAAATGGGTTGGTCAGTATGCCGGTTCCTGCAAAAACCTAAGTTTTAGGTTAGATTACATGATAATAATGAAATTCTGAATAAGTTTATTTTTCCCTCATATGAGCTGAAGGAAACGATGTTAGCCTGCTTCAAGGCAACCTACAATTGCTCAACTTAAACCACCTTTGTGGTAACAATCCACCTTCCCTCTCTAATACAAATGTAAGACTAAAGTGTAAAGACAAGTATTGGGCCACAACCAGACAAGCATTGTTTTCTCAGCTATAAAACAAATGGAAGCAGTATGGCCAGCTCAAAGCATGGCTGCTGACACTCTTGCTTCTTGTGTTTTCCTCTCAAACACCCCAATAAAACAAATGGACAATATCAGAGAACTACTGAAAGTTTAAAACGACTCAGCAGTAAAAACCATTTTAATCCAAATCAGTTCCCTAGGGCTAGATTGTATCAGTGCCACTCAAGACGGCAGAGAGAAACAGGAAAATGGGACAGGTGTTGAGAAACTTGCACTGCCATGAAAAATCCTGCATCAAACTAAACACTTAGCATGATCTCTCTGCTATTATTCTTGTTGAAAATACGAGCTGCAAAACTGTTTTCATCTCTGTTTTTAACACTGGCCACTGGATACTAAAAACCATATCCCTAACAAGCATTTTTTTCCCAATTTGTTAAAATGCTGTGATCAAGGCTCAATAAAATCAGTGTTCTGTCCCGTTATTCCTCCTCTTAATCCTACTAAAGAAATGCTTCTCAAATAATTTAGCAATCTTGCTATATGAAAAGGAGTGCAGGATAGCACAATAAATAAATGAAACAGTGAAAACAGATAAACAACGGAAACAGTTAGATATTATTTCATATACAAATATGAAAAACACTTAAAAGCACGTGATAATCTAAGTACGTGACATGTACCTTGCTGAATTTAAACTGCAAGGCATGAAATTATGTTTAATGAGTTTCATCTTCAAAAACTTTCCATTTGTACTCTGCTATAGGAAAAATTAAAGAAAAAAAAGAGCTATATGAATCATTTGTATGATTCCCATATGTACTTCCTCAATGCATCATCTAAGTTTCAGCAAACACGTATAAAGGAAAAACAAAGGAAAAGTCAGGGAGTGCTTGTTTTCATGTTTCACACACCAGTATAAATCTGTTACTGAGAAAAGTGAAGTCTGAAAAAGCAAAACAAAAGACAAAATGCAGTTCAGTGTAAGTAAAAGTGTAATAGAGTTTATCAGATTAGATAAAGGCATTATAATTTTCTCATTCTCGAAGAGGAAAATCTGCTTGCGAGATCAGCATTCGAAAGGAAGCAAGTACAGACAATATATTAAATACCATAGAGAAAAGTAAATAATGAAGCAATATTGTATTTAATCTTGCATTCCTTTCTATTACAATTAAGGTAGTCTGTAGGCTGCCAACTGTTTGGAATTGTAACAGTATTGCTACCTAATGATGCCCTATTACTCAGAATTTAATGAGAAGAGCCATATCCTCAATTCTGACTTGAAACTGAGTAGATTGACAAGATGGTGTGAAAAAAGCAGTGAGAGCTGACTAAATATTTATATTGCCTGTTTGCACAGACTGCATAGTCACCTGAGGGAATGTCTTCTTTTGACAACACAAAGGAAACACAAAAAGAGAAGCTTTAATTTGCAAACAGGTCCCCAAAAGTGGGGAAAATCCCTCAGTTTATAGTCTCTCCGTTAAAATGCCCAAGGGATTCTGTCATGGACATGTGAGAGTTATGATTAACTACTAAAAAACCCAAGTGTTTCTTGAACAGGATGATGCATGTTAAATGGAGTAATTAAAAATACTGTAATGCAGTACTATTATATTTGATAAACTATGCCTACAGTAAAGTTTAAGAGAAAAATCCAGCACAGGCTAGCAAGAAATAGTTTATTAGTCAATCACATCTATCAGGGCTGACAGCTGAAGAAAAAGCAACTGTCCCAGTTACCTGCATCATAAGATAGGCCAGCAAGCAGCAGAATGCTGCAACAGGTGCTTCTAGAGCTTGGAGCTCTTCCATCCTGTCCTGAAGGTGAAAGCATGCCAGAAATGTACTATACCGTTGCTTTTTCACATCAGGTCCTTTGGCAAACCACAATGTTTTCAAATTAGGTGTTCCACCTACAAAAGAAATCCATTCATTTATCTTGGCAGCAACAAGATAAAACATGCCTACCTCATTACAATCTGAAAGGAAACAACTGATCTGCTCTTGGCACTTGCAAGGACCACAGAGCTGAAAAGAAAATGTATTTGACAAAACTTGGCATTTGGAAAAAAAAAAAAAAAAAAAAAAAAGGCTTGTAATTTAAACAATTTGTATTGAATACAGGCATGTTTAAGCAGAGTGGACCAAATTCAATTCTTACAACAATACAGACAACTTTGAGACAACAGGCTTTTACCCTTTGCAAGAACAAAGTTTGCCCACGTGTCCCTTCCCTTGGGGATCCACAGCATTGAATGAGGTTAGTTTCACCATAAAATAGTGATTCAGCAGAAAACAACCATATCTGTTCCCTTCTCTCTCTCCTAGAGTTAGTGTTATCAGGAGTCCTGAAAGGATTCTTGCATTGCCTCCCTTCTATCATCTGTTTCAATGAACAAACTGGTCACCTATACCATCTGCTGGCAAGCACGCATTCTCCACACTGCTGGTATGACTCCTCTGCAGTAGGTTCCAGTTAGAGAACAAAACCCAAGGCTATCTGGTATTTTTGTGCTCCCTAGGCTGCTGTATATAACGCTGTTGCAAACACACACAAAAAACCTGACATCAGTTATGTATAATGTATCTTTCCAGACTTACTACAGTAATCATTCACCTTGGCCTCTAAATCCTTAACATTTATCCCATGTTGCCAGCTCCCAACATGTGTGAACTAACGTAAAATTTGCTCCCCATTTAAATTACATTTAATCCATTATCAAAATAAACACTAATGCACGTGAAAAAACAGAATAGCTAACTGGTTATGCAGAAGAATCCCAATTAAAAACAGAATTCTCCCATAAAATACTGCTGCTTCTGTAGTTAAATAAAATGAAGTGTGAATTTTAAATGTGGACTAATTAAGCTACATTTGGTAACACCTTTGCCTTTTTTGTGTGACATGCAGCAGCTGTAGTCCAGTTAGGAACACTTGGTGATAATAAATGGTTAAAGTGACAAGGTGCTGAAATCTACATAGACAATGTTTATTTAGCCAAGAAAGGCCATTAAACAAATGGTACTAATTATTTGGAGAGGGGGGAAACTGGAAGAGAAGTTAGTATTTGCTCTCTTCATCTCCCTGGATGGATGTTTCTTTTACTATTTTTAAGACTAACTCTCCCATCAAAAGTTTTAACCATGGAAAGAACTATCATCATACAATCTGTAAGTTTCTAACCTTATTTTGTAGGGAAACAATGTATATTAAGAACAAATACCAGTTGCTTGATTTGAGTTTAAAATGCAGGTTAGTGATAACACAGATACTGGCAGTGAGTGGGCCAGTACACACAGCACAATAAAACTCAGATTACTGGTTTTGATACTGGTAATTGCTGCCTTAAGGGAAAAAAAAAAAAAAAAAAAAAGAGAGAGACTGACTTCCAGGAAGAAAAGCAAATGTAACATGCATAAAACCAAAACAATGCCAACTTTTCCTACCAAGGCTAAGCAACTTTAATGTGTGAGAATTTTTACACGGGTAAACTCAAATAGTTTTGATAGTTTTTGCTTTCCAGAAAGTTCCCAATCAGCTGCATATGAAGAGATACACCAAGAATCACTTAAAGCAAAGTACTCTTTCCATCTGTACAGGTTTGTTTTGTTTTTTTTTTTTCTTTTAAATTAATTACATCCAGGGGTATTCCTAATAATAGGAATCCTTCTTTCTTCAGAGTAAAATCAGGAACTACATCAATAATCAAGATTATGTATCTATAATGAGAACTCAACAAAAAATTCAAGACATCTCTTCCATAAACAGCTTCCTATACTTTCAGAAACAACATCGACTTGTGCCTGGGAAAAAGAGGTACTGATGAATTATGAATTATTTACTCTGGGAAAGAAAATGTGACGCTATCTCCTTTTGGAACATACCAACCAAAAATGTTATTTTTCTGAAAGGGTCTCTTCTACCAGTAGTTAAATTCCATGTAATACCCAAGAGTGAGCCATTATATTAACCCGTAAATGAAAGATAAGTAAACCAAAGAAACAAATACACTGAAGTTTAATGACTCTCTGATCATGCGTACAGTCGACAACAGACCTAAGATTGATATACAGTAGAACTCCAAAACTGTTCTCCGCTCTAGTTGCATCCTCACTTCATACAATTAGAAATCATTCCTGAAAGAAATTTACCTGCATAGGGAGGAGAAATATTTTACTTTCTGAACACATCTAAATATTTACTAAATTAACCTAAAAATCACCCCAAAACTGAGTAACAAAAGGGAAACAGAACAAAACATACTTAGATACATAGAATTGATACAACTTTACCATAAATATTAGTCATGTGAACATGACCTATTCTACTGGGGTCCTTTTATTTCCTATGAATTACGCAGAGATACTCAAACACTGCATATGCTTATGATTATTCTCAACGTGCACAAAACTATGTGAAAACTATACAGTACTATGTAAACTGTAGTCCTTGGGAACTCCAAGAAGAGCATCACAAAGACCTCCATGGAGGTCAAGAAATACTACTTGCCTAAACACAGAAATGGAGAATCAACAAGTTAAGTGAAAAAGAATTGACTGAATTATTTTTTCCTTTTTCCTTTTCACTCACACATTTAAAGACATTGTCACATAGAAAGCATCATGATAAACAAAAGCATTTCAAAGGAATACATAAATATTTATTTCACTTGTCTGAACTTCAGTAACTGATTTATGTATATGCAATGCATGTAAAAGTTGTAGAATGCATTAATACTATGACACTTGAACTTAAGGCTTGTACAAAGGAGATCCTCACATTTGTACCAACTTAAAATATGTAATTGTGTATATAGATATTAATGGATAATATTAACTGTTCACGCATATTTGAAGTAATGACTATTGAAATTTCATTTTATGACACCAGTAATAAAACTTCAGCACTTCATCATATTACATGCTTATGTAAATACTGAGAAATAAAAATAAGTTTATAAAAATGTACTTGCTAGAAACAGTCAACATTAACTTGTCAAGAACTGTGGCCAATTTTAAATATGCCATAAACCCAAATGCCAATTAAATCTGACCATTAAAGAAACATTCCAGAGACAGCATTTTGAACATAAGTGTATCCATAACATATTCCTGTAAGATTCAATCATTAGAATACTGAAAGTGCATCCAAACTCCTGTGGTACGAAGCTACAATATCCTACACATTTTCAGAAATAAAATGAAAAGCAGAATCCATAAATTTCCAGTAAAGACTTTAAAACTTCCTTTGTTCCATATAAACTGCACACATATCAAACAGATCTGCTATGTTCACAAGATATGGATGTTAAACAGTATTTTCTTGGATCACAGATCTAACAAAATTCATTTCTCAGAAACATTTTTTATCGATTTAAGTGCTGCTCTGTCAATGTGTGGGAAACATCATGATCACATTCGTTCAACTGAAAGGAAACATTCCAGAAGGGAGACATCAAATGCAAGCAAATGCAGATGCTATTCAGAAAATTGTCCTTCAAGAAAAATACATATACATAATACACATTATATTTTAAATGTATTTTAAGCTACCATCTTACAGCCTTTAGGATTTGGGGGTTTTTCTAAGAAAAAGCTAACATTCCATCTATCACCTGCAAGCTTTTCAGATGCAAGACAATTCTGCTCTTTTATACACACAAAAAAAAATCAGTGGGAATTCTACTTTAAGAGCAATGTGAAATTTAAAATATTTATGGTTATGTGCATTACAGTTCAAAGTTTATATCAAATATTCTTTCCAGACTTTTTAACCTAAATCAAGTTATTTAACAGAGTCAGGATTTCCCATATATTTTTAGTACAATTCTAAAGTAGTTGTGATGATGTGGCTATAATTTTTTCCAAAAGAGATAAAACAAAGAAACTTCCCAGATTAATTGCACCTGTGATTTTTCAAATAGTTTCTGGTAAGGTTTCTTCTCTTTTTAAGTAACCTGCTCTTGATTGACAGCTTTGAACTCTTAACTTCCTATAACAACTTCTTCAAATTTAGCTCTAAATATGATCCCTGTCTGAAAAATGTGATGCGCTGTTGAGAACCTTATTTGGTGAATTAGAAAGTCATGCTGTGGAAAATAAAAGATGCATGAGCGAATGTAAGGCATACAAATATGGACTGCAAAAATTTTAGAAAAATATTTGTTCGCTGAAGGAATGACAACAGAGCACTAAAAATAAACACTAGAAGTCCTCCTCCCCTTTTTTAATAGTTTGCTTGTACAGTCTTTCATTACTGAGTTAGTAAAGATTATGGCTGAGAAGATGTTGTTTTTATAAACTCCTCTTATGCGGTTGCTATAAACAAACACAGTGATGTTAAAACCTGTTTATTGTCAACATGAAGGTGGGTTCTATCTGTAGCATGTTTGCAGAGCAGTAGAACCAGAGTACATGACATTGAGAGGATTCCTCTCCAGAAAGAGAGGAAGATACTATACTATCTGGGAAGGAAAATTTCACAACAAATAGAGTGTATTTGCCATGCAAACTAAAATGTAACTATGTAGGTATGGTTTATACTTCGTTGAGTTTTGTTTGCTTGTTTTACAAATGCATGTTCTCAGACCATCCTATGCTGAAATAAAACACTTGTCCAAGACAGATCAATTTTCACCCTGCATATCCACATTCATTTGGAAAATTTCACAGCAATTTCATGCTATCATCAAGTCAATTAGATAATCATTCTCCTAATATTGTATTGGGGTACTGGAGAGTGAAACTATTGTATATCAAATGAAACCTTGTTTGTATTTTGTCTATATAACTCATTTCTTTCCAAACAGTTCCTTTCAAAAGGATTTTGAAAAGGCTGGTATCTAAAGACCAACTGGTTTTCCGCCATCCTTTGAAGAATTTGAAGACTCTCATTAAATATACAAGTTTCAAATATGAAGATAAATGTACAATCTTAGGATACCTTAAGAAAATTTACTATAACTCTAGAAAATTAAAACCAAGTAGATTCTAAATCAATCCCTAAGGAAAACAAACCAAAAAAGTGCATTCATTTCAACTTCTTCTGAATATGGATTTAGACCAGATCAGAACAAGCACTGCTACAGAAAGCTGTGGGTACTGAGGGAAGAAGCACTGGTAATTATGCTCAAAAAATCAAGTAGATAATATTTGTTCTTAACAAGATATCAACAGTATTGTGGATCAATGGAACTAATTCATTTCATATGAAAGACTAAAAAAACCTCTGAATTCCTGACCCACATGATAGGAGATGACTAGACAGAGAGCAAGCTGTGAGAGTGAAGATAAAGGGGTTATGATTAAAATAGCAAGGACAAACGAACAATTAGAACTATTTTCCCTCTGAAATAACAAAACTGATACAGGGCTGTTTACTTTATATCCTAAACTTGTATTGGATGATACAATTTAGTGATAAGAGATGAGCAACATATACAGTGCCCAAGCTCTTCACCAAATGTATGATACTTCCTCATAAATGTAACAATTCTCACAACACTAATTTCACTACAAGTGTTTGTGAATGTATCCTTTACCAAAAGAAAGATAAAACCACACAAAATACTTGATCCTTAAGGCAGTAGAAACAGCTTCACAGAAACAGATAGCCTAAGTATTTTTTTATTGAAAGCTAGATTCTCTTTTTGGGTTGTCACAGGTGATCTAAAAATTACTATTTTTAGTATACTCTGCCAGTCTTGTTAACATATTCTCTCAAACAGCTTAATAGAAGAATTTTAATATGGCCCTACACACCAATTATCCTGGCCTCAGAACAGTATTTAGAACCTCTAAGCAATTGTTTGCATTTTAGAACTGATGTTTGCATTATCACTGGATTTAACAAGACATAGTAGCTCAAAGCTGAATCCTGTTATAATTACACAGGGTAATTACAAGCAATTACAGGCATGCACCATTTCTACTTTAGCTCCTTGTTCTCCACAGTCATTTTGGGTTCCATATCAAACATGTGATGACGGATTACCTAACCTGATTTTAATGATGTCCTTACTTCAATTCAGATTTAAACATGTTTTTATTCTACCTGGAATAGAAGGTTGTACAGGTTGTATCAGCTCCGGCTGCTGGAGAGGATTTCCAAAATAGACAAACCACTCTTTTACCAAAGGATAGGCTCCGCCTAAAAAAGACAGAATTGAATCACTAAGTCAAATGCAAGTATTGACACTAGTGTAAAAGTTGGAAGCAGCAGTGATCAGTATTCTAAAGTAACAGAAGGCACTTCGTAATGACTTGTTTGCTCAGCTTCTTTAAAAACAAACCAAGAAAAATTAGTTTTAGTATCTTTATGACAAATCATCAGAACAAATGAAGAGAGTTTGAATTATGTATTATAAACATGAGTTTGGAGTTGGGAACTGCAGCCAAAAATGTAAGTACAAGAGCCTGTGGAAAGCATTCTAAAATGGCTTTCAGCCAGTTTTAGGCCTTCTCATTCCAGGGCAGTTCAGGAAGCTTGTGGAAGCATCTGGCCTATCTTAGGGACCTACAGGAGCTACCTCAATCTCCCAGGGCTGTCACACTGCCACATATGCAGGCAGCCTTTAAATCATTCTCCTCCCAACTTGCCCTGACATTTCCTGTGTCAAGGTTTGAGACAAAATCTTTATAAGGAGGTCTTGATGGCTATTTGAAAGCTGACAGCAGTGGAGTCATCCTACCTCAGACGCAGAGCTTTTATGGCCCATTGTTCCAGACCTTTTATCTAGTATAAAGGGATTGTTTATGCCTAATAGCTCAAGTGGCTTTCCACCCCCAAACTCTGCCCCACCCCCCAGGAAAGAGTAGGGTGATTCTTAAATTAAAAATTTCACTGCTCAATTTGTGCATCTAACTACTTGATGCTTTAAAAAAGCCCAAATGAAAATATCCTCAGAAAAAAACTCAAGCATTTAGGACTTTTTGAAATGCAGTCTACCCAATTTCCCGTAGGCAGCTCAATCATTCCAATGCAAGTCTTCATAAAAAACCCTAGAATCATTATTGTTGTAAATGGTGCTTCTGCATTCTGTCCAGATTTTGCCTATGGTAACCATGTCATAGTGCCCTAAATTTCTACTCTCTGTAGTCTGGTAAACAGTATGAAGTAAACAGATTTAGCTAGTCCTGGCCACTTGGAACAGTGTTTTCAAATCTCTTCCAGGCAAAATCTCAAAGCTTCCCCCCCTCCCCCCCCCCCCC